TTCGCTCCGCCTGCAAGGCCCGTAACCCCTCGCTAGAGGGAGAGAGCCAGGGTCCATCAAGCTAAGGTCTTGGGCTATTGGGCTATTCCTGTCGACGGCCCCCAACCAACACAGCACAGCAATGAAGCACCCGCCTCAGCCGCACCACAGGAAGCAGGCGAGGCGCCCGATCTAGTGAAGCCATCATGTCGGTAAGGATGCCCTGCCGCCAGGCTTCCGACCTTACAGGCGAGAACCTTAGCTGCCTCCCGAGAGATCCATTCCCCTTCCTACCTACCTTACTGTAACTCAATAGCAGTCCGACGAGCTGCCATGCCGACGACTTCGAGCGCAGGTCCACCAAGAAAGTGCTGAGCGACCGACTTGGATGTTCTGGTAGGATCGGGATCCATGCATAACGTCGCGACTCGTGCTGACGTGCGGGCTTCCAGCACTACGACCGCGTCTTCCTTCCCGACACTTTCAATCGTGGCGACGCGACGGCTTGACGACATTTCCTGAGCACCATGTCCGGTCTCCCGTCAGGCTGGGAATCCGACTACAACGGGAGCCGCTGGTTCTATCGCTACAAACCCACGGGCCAGATCCAGTTCCACTTTCCACAAGATGGCGACGAGTTTCCCGACTTTGTCGACGCCAACGCGCCCGCACCCGACCTGGCACCGGAGGAGAAGCTAGAGAGCCAGCAGCAGGTCAAACGGAAGACGGAGCCCTCCGAGAATAACGAAAAGGGACCCGCAAAGTCGTTGACGCGCGCGACGGCTGGACCATCGGGCGGAGGCTTAGGCTCTGGGACCAAGCCCTCTCGGACTGCTGCAGGGAAGCAACAACTGAGCCCTACCGATGATGATGACAACGGCGGCGAGTTCTACTACCAACCCGAGAGCTTCATGTTCCTTGGGCCTGGCGCGTACAGTGACGTGAGCCCGCTAGGCGAAGAAGATGACCGAGTGGACGCTGGTGCAAAACCTCCTGAGAAGGGGAGGCGCAATGAGGACGAAAATGCACAGGTCAAGTCAGAGGACAGCCAACCATCCCGTTTGAGCTCCAAGGTGTCACCTATACAAAGCGAATCTACTACACCGCTCGTGGTCCACGGCACCCCAGTTGCTGGCGATTCACCAGCGGCCAAGCCGAGCGTTGAGACGACACAGCCTGCTGCTGTTGTCGAGCCTCCGTCGGCCACATCGCCAACAGTTCCGTTGCTAGACTCCCGCGAAATGCCGCATGAGCTACCTGCAAGCTCCCCATGGAGCCCAGTCGGGGTGGTGGCTGAAATGCCTACCGAACATACGGCACAGGCGCGCATTGAGTCTCATCCCGACCCGGTGGAGATGGGGGACAGTGCTGTTCTCGCGCCCATAGAAACACACATGGATGTGGGGATTGCTGAACTTCCTGAACATACCACGCCCACCGACAGGAAGCCAGTTGATACCTCCCAGCACGATGAGCTGCAGCAGACCAGTCTGCCTGACCATGTCTTGTACCAAGCCACGTTTGGGACGATCGCGAGACCTAAAAACCCCTCGCCACCAAGTTTAGCGCAGCAGACGGCAGGCGCTTCGACGCCCGCTGAAGCGTCAACCCGATCACATGAACGGCAGATCCAGGCTGCAGAAGAGCCACGCGCTCCACGGAATGAATCGCCCTTCAGGATCACCAGGAAGCCGACAAACGCTGCGACATCAAGTTCCAAGTATCAACCATACGCGCCTCCAGTGGCCGCTAGTACTGCCGAGCGCCCCCATCTCGAGCAGAGAACATCAAGCTCCCAAAGCCAGGATCGCCGTGGCTCTTTGATTCGCGAAGGATCGCTGATGTTAGGCCCACGCGAGCCGGCAAGGGTCCAGTCCGCAGATGTACCAACTGTGCTCCAGCCTCCGCAGCTACCTCCGAAAGTTGAGGAGCAGCCTCGATCACACCCCTCTCAAGCCCCTGTTGGCAGCAACACTGTGCCTCATCACACTGCATTTGCCGCCCGCGAGCAGACGCGAGCCCAGGAGAACGAGAGTGGAGCATCATCGGAAAGGGCTGCCCCAGCCTCATTGAGCCATGTGCCGTCCGTGTTGAAACCCGCGCGAGGCAAGATGATAGAGCGGAGCAGCACTGACAACCAACGAGGTCATACGGACAACCCACCGCGTATTGGTCAAATCCACCATACGACAACAATGGACGTTGATCCGCAACCAGCTTTGGGGCCACGGCCATGGGTTCAGAGAGTGAGCACGGCGCCTCCTGGTCAGCAGCTGCACCCTTCATCTAGCACATCCCGAACAAATGACTTCAGCATACCATCCCCGCCGCCTCCAAGGTCTTACGAAGCGTCACAAAGTCGCGACTGGTCCTCCGCGTCGCTGGCGTACCAACGCCAAGAGGTCTCGACACCCCAAGGAAGGCTACCGCGACAGCAATCATTCGCGTCCAGCGACGTCTCATCCCTCGGACCGTCATCCAGTCGCCAATCATCAATAAGCAACTTTCAGACACAATCCCCCCCTGAGAGCCTGCAGCGTCGGTCATCCAATATATCAGGATTCTTCGCCGACGTGAATTTAGGGGAGGAACGTTCCACAAATCCTCCCTCAGCATCACGTGTCGTGGCGACGGAGCCCTTTCCATCCTACGCGCCCCCTGTACGGGAGCCTGTCACGCGACCTGCTTCTTTCGCTGGATCGTCATCTTCCCCCACCCACATTCCTCAGGATGCGTCCGATGGTACCGCACCAAAACCTCCCAAGATTCCGCTCAAGATACCCCTGGAGCACAAGACCGATAAGGTGAACAACGCGCTTTCTTCCCCAGCAGGAAAAACTATCGGCAGTTCGAATGTACAATGGCCCGTAGGACAACAGCTACCAAACGCAAGTGCATCTCTTCAGAGACCGCCGAATGATGTGCAACGCCGAGGAACAACTCGTCGCCATTCTATGCCACAAGAGCAGACGCCACCTCCCCAGCAGCATCTAGATCTCTCTTACAGTTCTCATGGAGTTGTTGGTGAAGGCGCTCTCCCACATCCTCTTGGCAAACCGCAAGATCAGAATCCGCCGTCTGCCCCTTTTCACTGGACCATTCCTGGCTTGGGGTCTAGGTCAAACTCTCAGCCTTCCACACACGACAGTGGTATTCGGCGAGTGGGCTCCTTTGCCCCTGAGATGGCCTCGATGGAGCCCACGCGGGAGCCCACGCGACCATCTGAACGACCCCAACGACCCCTAGCGGGCACAAACGCGCAGCAGCCATCGCGTTCGAACGCGTTGATATCGGTGCCAACTCCGGGGCACGCTCTTCTTCCAATCCAGGAGCAACCTGAGAGCGATCAGGGCCGCTCGTCTTCCCAACCCGTGATACCTATATCTAGGCAACTGCCCATTCCCCTGCCACAGCCTGGCCAATTCGACAGAGCTGCGACGACTCTTCCGGTACTGCAACAACCTCCGCCTCAAGTTCACCCAGTCATTACAGCAGATCATGGACGTCAGACCGCAACTGTACTGTCGGCTCAGAAGCCAGGGATGCAGTCGCAAGGAACATTGCCAAAAGTGGGAAGTCAGCAGTATGTGATGATGGAACCACCCCCTCCTCTCCAGCACCATCAAAGATCTTACTCGAGTCCTTTAGGGGTTATTGGGCCCGTGGTGGACAAGGAAAAGGAGAAGGAAAGGGGCGGCTGGTTCTCCAAGTTTAAGAAGGGCTCGCAAAAGTCTGCTGTTCTTCAGAAGCAGCCATATCCCGCTGCACAGATGCAGCACTTTCAAGTTGTTCCCCAGCAGGTGCAGCAGCAGCCTCTGCAACCGCAACGCCACTCCGAGGAGGAAATGTTGCCCCAGCACCACCAGAATATGCCATTTAATGCACAATCTATTGGACAGACTCCTCACAGCCAGAAAAACGCCGCGCAGTCACAGCCAGGTCCCGTTTGGGGCGTCGACCCGCACACGGTGGACTTGCCCGCTGCAACTCAAGTGCGAGTTCCTGACCAGCAGGGTCTCTTGGTTCGATCATCTTCGGACACCATCAGAGAGTCATCGGCTGTCCCTCCCACCACTCTAAAAACAGAGGTGGCGCAATCACAAGCACTTGCTGCTGCTGCATCAGATGTGTCACGCACCTCGTCGCATTCATACGCCCCCTTGCTGGATCGACAGGCGTCAGTAGCATCGAGCTACGCGGCTTCGATCTCGACGGTGGATATCGCCGAGGCCTATGCGCAGCCCATCATGAAGCCGCAGCTCATCACCGTGCAGAGAGTAACGACGGCGCCCCTGCAGCTATCCTCGCAACAACAACCACGGGAAAATGCTGGGCCAAGTCTGGTGTGGTCAGAGGAGTCTCAAGGGTACTTCCCGGCACAGCAAGTGCGGCAAGAGGTCTCACCGCCGCATGTTGCCCAGCCGCCGGCTGCGGCGGGACAGTTGGCTCCCTCGCCATATATCGCGTCGAACCATCAGAACGTTGGGGCAACAGGATCGTCTACACAACCGCCACCACCACAGAGGGGCAATAGCAAATGGACGAAGCGACCTGCTGCGGATTACTCGGGCGGAGATTGGGGGGACGATACGTGGAAATGATTCAGACGCCCGTGATGATATTGAGATTTAGCAGCATTGTCTTGCGTATGGTTGTATCTCTGCATTCTATACCCCAGCCTTGCAATTCATTGGACAGTCGAATTCGAAGCGTTGAACTGGCCCGACTGAAAATTCTCATGCATAAATGAACCAATACGCAACAAAGCCTCCCCCTTGAAAGGCACGAGTGCTTGTGACGGAAATTCTCATCGTGGGCAGCGTCTTGTCTTGTCATTTCGCGGGTATCAAATATCAAGTCCAACCCCCTACACCACGTCCGGAACAACTTGATCAGCCGCCGGCGCCTCAGCACCCTCGGGCCTGGCCCCCTCGCGCTTCTGCTTCTTCTTGGCGAGCATCTCCCTCTTCTCCCGCTTCCTCGTCGCCTTGTCGACGCTGCCGACGACGGCCGTCTCCGAGCCGCACGGCCACCTCGCCAGCACGGCGGCCTCGTCGGCGTCGGTCCACTCGCGCGGCAGTGTCGCGAAGACGAGGTACGACGTGTGCATCTTGAGCTCGGCCTCGGAGCGGTGCACCAGGCGTCCCTGCAGCCAGGGCTTGGCGGCCGTTTCGTCGGCGGTGGCGGCGGGGCCCTCGGCGTCGAGGTCCATGGGCGAGGATGCGGCGGCGGCGGCGGCGGCGGCGTTGGCGGCGGCGATGGCGTCGTTGGCGGCCTTGGACTTGTGGGGGTCGTACTCGCGGGCGCGGCGCTCAATGTCGCGCAGGCGGGCGACGGCCTCGCCGACATTGTTGGGCTCGGGCGGGGCCTTGCGCTCGGGGGGGTTGGTGGAGGGGAAGCGCTCGCGCAGGACGTTGATCTTGCGGTGGGCCATCTCGACCATGTCAATGTCGACCCAGCCGAGGCGGCGCATGGCCGAGATGGTGCGCTGGACCTGCTCGATGCAGGGGGAGAAGGTGCAGAGGTGGGCGGCCTTGGCGGGGTCGAGGGGCGACACCCAGGGGCCCGCGGCGGCGTCGTCGTCGTCGGCGGCGGAGGGGAACCTGTCGGCGTACTCGGGGGCCGTGGGCCGCGCGCGCGACAGGTGCGGCAGGGCGTCCCAGGGCGCGGGCAGGTCGAGGAAGACGGCCGAGGCGTTGGGGCTCGCGCCGTCGACGAGGAAGCCGCCGGCGTAGGCGTCGCGGTGGGTGAGCTCGACGAGCCCCGTCAGGTGGTGCGACGCGATCTCCTCGTGCATCTTCTCGTAGCGGCCGCGGTTGAACTCGTAGCTGAAGACCTTGCCGCGGGGCTCGGAGGACGTCGAAGGGTAGCCGTTGTAGACGGCGCGGACCGAGGCGTGGGTGAAGCTGCCGCTGCCGGCGCCGGCCTCGATCAGCCGCGTGCCGGGCTGGGCGCGTATCCTCGAGAGGACGTAGCTGTAGTCGGGTGTGTAGACGACCTGTGTTCGGTGGGGGAGGCTCTGGGTCCAGAGTTCGGGTGTGGGCTGGAGGATGTGGACGAAGCCGCTGTTGGCTGTGACGGCCTTTTTCGCCGGAGCCAGCACCGTCGGTGCATCAAAGTCGTCGGCCGCGTTCGGCGTCGAGCCCTTGCTGTCCTCCTCCTCGCCCTCATTGCGCTTGCGCTTGCGGCCGCGAGAACCTGTGTCCACAGTCGAGGCTCGGATTTGGGAACCCCAGGAGACACCGATCAATGTCGAGTGGGGGAAGGATCCGAAGCGGGTGTTGAGCGTCGCGCCTTCTGCATAGCCGTCTCTCTCGGTGGTGGAGTCTTCGAGAATAAGGGGAATGAGGTTGTCGCGAGACAGTTGGATGATGGCAAGGGAGCCCGCCGTCGTCTTGGGGCCCGGTTCGAGGAATACCGACGGCCGCGCCATGGTGTTTGCTGCCTTAGCCGTGAGAGGCAAGAAAACTCGATCAATTGAAGAGACGGAGATTAGAAAAGTGTAAAGCCCAAGAGCGATTGGCACACTCGTGAAGGACTTGAAGGTGGATGGATGCTTGAGCCAAGCCAAGCCAAGCCAAGCCAACCGCAAGTGGTTGGCAAAAGCAGAAAAAAAGTTCTGGACAAGGCTGAAGAAAAGGGTCAGGATACATCATGGCATGATTGGCCACGATGACCGCGGGGTAGCCATGGTGGGGGACAGCTTTGACCAATGATGAGCTCCTTGGTAGAGTATCACGAGGCAAGGCTGACGGCTTTTGGACAAATTGGGTTCCTTCCCTGCGGGGATGGCGTCCGTAGTGCACGTCTCGTACAGGCCCTTGAGGCCCAGCTGGCCATTCCTTCATTCTGGAGATCGCTCGTCTCCTGCAGCCTCCATCCCTTCCATTGCGTGACTCAACACCACCACCACCATCGCTCTGTCGCCGTACTTTTTGTCTTTCTTGTCTTTCTTCGTACCCACCCTCCTTTTCCTCACATTCACCCTTCCCCTCACCACGACCCGATTCTCCTTCGCCTCCTGGATGAATCGGTTGTGCAGACTCGTCAGCATCAGAATCTCGAACCGACCATCCCCGATTGCCCCTCTTCGATTCACCCGAACATTCACCTCGACATTGACCCTGTCCCACCGCACCATGGAGTCGCTCAAGGTGCACAACTCGCTGTCGCCAGGCCAGCCGGTGCCATTCGACCCCATTGAGAAGGGCAAGGTGTCCTGGTACGCCTGCGGTCCGACTGTCTACGACAAGAGTCATCTGGGCCATGCTCGCAACTATGTGTCCACCGACATCATCAGGCGCATCATGATGCACTACTTCAAGGCCGACCTCAAGTTTGTCATGAACATTACCGATATTGACGACAAGGTGAGAGAGAGAGAGAGAGAGAGAGTCCGGGGTACACAGCGGTGAACTCGCCGCACGGAAGGCTGACGTTGGCCATAGATTATCATCAAGGCGAGGCGACAGCGCCTGCTCGAACTCGAGAAGAAGAAGACATACTCCGACGATGAGCTCGCCAAGCTCGCCCTCGACGCGTTCCGCGCGTACGCACAAAAGTCACTGCCAGTCCTCGTCCAGGACAACGAGGCACTCGACGAGGACAACTACCTGGCGCGCCGAGATGCCGCCTACGGCAAAGTTCTGGCGGGAGGGACTCTGACGGGCACGGGCAAGCCCGGCGACGACGAGGCCAAGGCCAAGATGCACATCAACAACATGGATGCGGCGGCGTTTGCCATCAAGGACAAGAACATCTTCCCCGGCGCCGACGAGATTCTGCTGCCCTACCTCGACTCGCTGTACAAAGAGACCGTCGACACGAGCGACCAGACCATGTTCACCGACCTCACACAGAGCATGGAGCAGCTCTTCTTCGACGACATGGACGCCCTCAACGTCCTGCGCCCCGATGTCATTACGAGAGTCACCGAATACGTGCCGCAGATTGCCGACTTTGTCGCTCGCATCGTCGACAAGGGCTTTGCCTATGAGTCTGACGGTTCCGTCTACTTCGACATCACGGCGTTTGAGAAGGCCGGCAACACATACGCCCGTCTGCGGCCGGGCAACCGGAACGACAAGTCCCTGCAGGAGGATGGTGAGGGCGCCTTGTCCAAGAACCTGGGGGAGAAGAGGAGCGACGGCGACTTTGCGCTCTGGAAAAAGTCCAAGGAAGGTGAGCCCTACTGGCCCAGCAGGTGGGGCGACGGAAGGCCGGGCTGGCACATTGAGTGCTCCGTCATGGCCTCTGATATCCTCGGCGCGCAGATGGACATTCACTCTGGTGGCGTCGATCTCGCCTTCCCCCACCACGACAACGAGCTGGCCCAGAGTGAGGCCTACTACTGCGAACAGGAAAAGGGCGAGCACACGTGGGTCAGGCACTTTTTGCACATGGGCCACCTGTCCATCTCTGGTTCCAAAATGTCCAAATCTCTGAAGAACTTTCAGACCATCCAGGATGCTCTGGCCACCAACTATACGTCCAGGAGCATGCGCATTGTCTTCCTCTTGGGCAAGTGGAACGACGGCGTCGAGATTTCTCCTGACATGCGGGCGCAAGGTGCCAGCTGGGAAACGCTGGTCTCGGTACGTCAGTCTTGGGGGTTTGAGGTGAACCCTCCCTGGCTAACCTTCTGCAGAACTTCTTCGCCAACGTCAAGGCTCGCGTGCTTGACCAGAGCTCAGCGCCGTCCGAAGGCGTCAAGTCGCTCTCCGTATCCGACGACGCACCCAAGAGTGGCTTGGCCGCTGAGCTTGAGAAGGCCAAGAAGGAGATGCACGATGCACTGTCCAACTCATTCGACACACCGCAAGCGATGCGTATCATCCAGGACCTCATCGGCACAGCCAACCTTCAACTCGCAGACGAGGACAGCGTGACGACCCTCGAGGCTATCGCCCGCTGGATCACGCAGATCGTTGGCATCTTCGGCCTCGATGAGAACGCGCAACCACCATACAGTGGTATCGGCTGGGTGGCTCAGCCCCTCGCTGCTGGCAGCGATCCCAAGGAGGCTGTCAAGCCTCTGGCCAGCGCGTATGAAACCGTGGCCGCTGACGTCAAGGCGCTGAACCTGTCGTCCGACTCGATCTCGAGCCTTCTCGAGCAGCAGAACCCCGAAGCCGAGTTCAAGGCAGTCGTCGATCGGGGCGTGAGGGACACGGATCAGCTTGCCTACCCCTACGCCCGCGCCGTCTCGAGGTTGCGTGACGAGCTCCGCAAGGCCGTCTCCTCTGCCTCCCCCGAGTCAAAGAAGGCCATCCTTGCCTTGACGGACCGCATTCGCGATGATGATCTCACCAATGTCGGCGTCTATCTTGACGACCGTCTCGAGGGCAAGCCATCGCTGATCAAGTTTGTGCCCGCGAGCGAGCTCATCGCCGCACGCAACGAGAAGCTGGCCAGGGAGGCTGAAAAGGCGCGCGCCAAAGAGGAAGCCAAGCGCGCCAAGGAGCAGGCGGAGGCAGCGAAGTGGGAGAAGGCCAAGGTCGCACCGGCAGATCTCTTCCGCTCGGACGACAGGTACGCAGAGTGGGACGCCGAGGGCCTGCCGACGAAGCTCAAGGACGGCAGCGAGGTGCCCAAGAGTCAG